GTTAGTGTGTGTATTAATTGTTAACTTATCTATATCATTTAGACGATACATTTGTTCAATAGCCCTGTTTAGAATAAAATGGTAATTCAAAACAAAAATACCGCTGATTTTCTTTTGTCTCTAATATTATTATTAATATTATTATGTAAACAGCAGTTTCTATTAACACCGGACCTAGAATAATAAATAAACATATGTTTTCCTATTACATCTTGACAAGCAAATAAAATCGTATTTTTTTCTAAACTCACAATAAAGCTATAGAGAGTTGGAGACTTCAACTATTATTTCATTGCACACAAAAGTTATTCTTGTTGGAAATGTGCCAACAGCAACAGTTGGCGCGGGACTAGCAAATATTAATGCACAGGACGCGGTAACTCATCTTCAAAGTAGAGTCATACGCGGCTGTAGCAGCAGCTCCGGTGCTGTTTTAGAGTCGATACATCGTTATCGTGGTGCTGGCTATGTTTATTAGAAAGTACCGGAATAGTTGGAGTACGTATCGTTGGTAATTAGGAACCCTGCACAGCCACGATGGCTCTGGTACAACAAAGTTAGATTATTCGAAAATTGACAGATATCTTTTCGGTTTCAGAAAGCGCCTAAGTGACTTAACTAGGCTTTTACAATAAAACCAATAGGCTTCAATAGCCCCAAAAAAGAACCAATTTGAAACTGTTAACAGTTTCAAATGAAATTCACTGTACTTAAGTTATCGCATATTTTCTTAGCCCATTGTGGACTTAGAAATTGCCATGTTGAAACAAAGTCTGGATAACTAAAATCTCTGAAATCCATGTATGTAAGCTACGTATTTGCTAGCGGCTGATTTTAATAATCAAAATCCAAATGATATGACAATTTTCCTTGGCACATTACTATCATAGCATCGTGCGTACACACTCTCGGATAGTCGCCAGTCCCCACACATACCGGTCGTCCAATTGATTGACACGTGAGCGGTAACTGTATGGTGCAAATCGGATCCTAAACGAACGGCTAGTGTGACTACTCGTAACAATATAAACGCAAGCTCAACAGCGAATATTTAATGAACAAATGCATGTAACCCCAGTGCTAGCTACAAACCTAAGTTGTGAGCGTGGCCTGCTACAAATTGTATTAGAATTATCTTGTCAGCTTTGTGTTTTTTGTTGACTCAAAACATTTATTTACACTGTTGTAAATTGTGATATTTCTACAAATTCTCCGTTTACTGAGGAATGTTATTTATTTACTACATTCTATCAAAGTTAAAATTCATTTTTACTGGGAGTAAAAAGAAAGTATGTTTAGCATTAGTTTATTGACAACAATAACATACGTTTATGTGATATACATTATAGCACTACCAACCAACATTAGCAGTAAATAATATTATGCACATCCCAAAAATATAGGGCTACCGTAAAACAAACTCACCATGGAGATCGTTTAAATTCCAAACTAAACCCAACCAATTCCTATAGCAGGGATTACCAGCATAGATAAGCAGCGTCGCCCGCGGACCACTTGATGTTAAGTGGTTATACCGCTGTGAACGCCGCTGTCCACCTTGAGACATAAGGTTTCAATGGAATGACAACTAGCCAGGGCCTCCGGACAAGAAAAACATGGTGCCTTAGCGGCAATAACACGGTGCCTTGCCACCGGTGCTCAGGTAGGAATGCTACAATAGGAAACAGGCGGGAGAAAGCTACGAAAGCCGTCAGGATAAACCAATCGAACAGATGCAAGATGTAAATGAAAATGAATTGATATTAATTATGTTAGCATTATTAAAGTACTTTAAGCTTTGTTTTTGTGCTTATCGATATAAGTTATTTTGTAAATAAGAAAGTTTAAAGCGATAATTTGAATTAAATCGCGTGAATTGCGATTGTAGTGGGTAAGGTGTTGTATTTCACGAGACAAGTTGTTTGCCACGATAACCTTATCAGACCTAAACTGCGGAACAATAAATTTAATTTTCAACATTTAAGTATGACATCCTTTCTTTGTTACATTTTTTTTATTAATAAATCAAAAGATAAATTTTTAATTGGCTATTTAGTCCTAACAATAGCCTAAGCTATGTATATGCATTTTATATATCAGTTCACTTGCACAAACTACCTAAGCAAGTATATACATTTATATGGAAATAATTAGTTATTTATTGAAATTGTAATGATGCTATCCACATCTTTTCAAGTTGTCCATAAGTGCATTACGCATTACAGTCATCCTTTTTTCCGATGGACCATATGTAAACAAAAAACAATGATAACAGTTGGTTTGATTAAAGAAAACTCGATGTCTGCCCCCGTTTGGGGGGACTTTGAGGGAGCATTAGTTGGAATTAACAAAATGTAAAAATTCAATCATTTGCATGTCTAATATTTTAGAACATAGATGACCACTTACTATCAAGTAGCCCATAACAACACAAATATTTATGTAGAAATAAAAACAGTAACAAAAGTTAGTTAGTACTTACTTTCGAAGTTTTTTTGTCTCTTCTTGTGGCTGGACCACCACTCCGGAGGACTCTCCTGCGTCGCGGTCGGTGTCTGCGCCCGCCTTGGCGCCGTTAAGGTCGCCCGTCTCCTGGACAACTTCCTGGACAACTTCCTGGACAACTTCCTCTTTAGCAACTTCACTCGACTCCATGCTGATCACGTGGACTCTGCGATCGAAAATTGCCAAAAGTTTAATTTAAATGCAAAGATTCTACAGAAAGACAAGACTTGAACCTTCCCCGACACAGTATGGCGACGAATGCGCTCAAATGCTGCGTATTGATTTTTAGTGAGAGCCAAAGTTCCTCGCGGCACTGTCGAGTCGACAACGTATCGATACGGTTTTACTACTTCGTAGGATCGTTTTCGAAAACGATTTTACACGTACCCAAAATAAAGCATTTATTTCACAAATACCCCAAAAAAGAAGCAATTTAGAAAAAGAGTTTTTAAAAGTAGAGGTAAGTTGCATTTAATCCAACCTACTTCTCGGCTCAATCTCGCATTTAATATTTTTATTTGATTATTGCCGATGTTTCGAATAATTGACAAGGTTCGTGATGATGGACGACCGTTACGTATTTGAAAGTGGTTTCTGTTATGTCCACGGCTCTCGAAAACTGAAGTAAAAGGTGAATTTCAGATATTTTGTATTTGTTTAGTATACTACTCATACTGAGCTAAATATGTACACCTACTTGAAATCAAATTTAAAGATATATGAGAATTACAAATTAATATATCGATATGATTAATATTCGATGTCCTGTGAAGCTTGCAAATAGAAACGTTATTTTTGACGAAGAACTTAAGATTAATCATCTTTGAAATAATCTGACTTATTTCCGAAGGTCGGTTGCATAAACAGTCTGGTTCCTACGAGCTAAATTTCCCGCTTCCACACACATATCGTGTCGATGTGAATATCAATTATAAAATTAAATTTTCCCGGTTAGAATAAATGGCCACTAAGTCTAATCAGTTTTTATGACTCGAATCTATAGATGGAATGTAAAACGATTCGCCGAGCGCAGGTTCCCAGACCTATGATTGGTTGCATATGCATTTTACTTTGATATAGGGTTTGCGAGGAACGGACCCCACCCAGTTATCGACGCCGCGACGTGGACGCGCCGCGTCCAGCGCCCCTAGCGAACGAATTATGTACTGAATTTGCATAAAAGGAGCACTGAAATAGAACAAAAGCAGTACCTACCTGCAATTTGTGTAGTCTAGGAGTGTCCGAAAAAAAAACACAAGATTTTGTTCCGATCTCGCTTATTTAAACTTTAGTTCTATGATGAAAATAAATTGACATTAAGTAGTAACCGCAGCACATTGACATCAGAATGTGAACGTAAACATTACCTACCGCACGCCTAGAGATAAGAGGCTGAAGTTTAAACCTATTATCCGAGAGTTGGCCCAGCTCAGCCTTCGGACCAGAGCGATAGACGGCCTCGCGGCAGAAATGAGGATGCTAAGATCCCTACCCGTTGACAGTATCATTGTCTGTGTAAAAAACATGATGTATTGAGACTCGCATGACGCAAAAACGAGATTTCTATAATATTTTTGGTTTTACTTCTTAGATACTTGGCCCATATTAACTAAAAATGATCAAGTTATTTCTTATGAAATATTTTATTACGCGATAGATGGCGTTATTCGTTTCCATAATCTCGCCATTGTTTTTTTTTTTGTTAAGTGTTAAGGTGTTTGTAAATAAGTGCTTGAGGTCGCTACTCTGCATATTTTGGCCAGCCACTACATCATATAAAGACCTCAGGACGAAATGTGACCAAAACCCATCGCGCAAGACCTTGCCTATCGGAAATGACGTTGGATAGGACACACTCTACGACGCAGCGGAGTCAACGCAGCATCAATCGCGTTTAAGTGGTAGCCGCTTCGCAGGAGAAGACCTTAGAGAGCGGACCTTGGAGATAATGACTACCGGGATGACCTGGAGTGATTTTAAAGAGCAAGCGCAAGTCAGGGTCATGTGGAGACAACTTGTGAGAGCCTTATGTACCAGCGGGGATACTCTAGGACAACAACAACAAGTATAAAAAGACATTTCCCCGCGTCCAATGAAGATAGGATAACCAGCCCCTCGAGGTTACTAGGTAGGCCGTTACCCACATTTACCGATGTCAACGGGGATGTCGTTACGAGCGCAGCTGGAGTATATCCACCGTCCCGTGATTATCATTAAACTCATTCCGATCGGACAGCCGCCAATGTTAATTTTATGAGCTAGAGAGACAGCCTCCTTCGTATGTTACAGCTAACCTACGAGGTAGCGCTGCAAACGCAAATTGTAATCGACGCTAAAACACTAATAATAATGTCCCTTATCTAATCTTCGCTAAGGTTCTTACATTAATTATTACAATGAACACAACAATAAAACACTGGATATATTTATTAACAAGTAAAAATTAGAAAAAACATAATGAAATCGAAAAGTTGATACATTTAACCGTTAAAGTTTCAGGGATTATCGAAAAAGTTTTTACAGGTGCACTCCTGATTCTCTCCGTCGCCGTCTCCGGTGCTAGAAGCCGTCCTCCTGAGGGACTGCACCTGCGTCTGCAGACCGAGGATCCGGAGCTGGGCCTGCTCGAAGTTCTCCGTCAGACGCTTCATTTGCCAGTGCAATCGGTTTTTCAGCTACAAACAATAATAGGTTGGGGAAAAAGTCTTTTCGCATTAAAGTATGTATGAACTTGTAATAGAATCTCTTTGGCTATACTATTTGTATCTGGCTGGCTTTGGTATCATTAAAAGTTTAAATTTTAAAGACGATAATTCCAAATTCAAAGTAGGAAAATGTGTGATTTTTATTTATTTATATTCGTATTGTCAATATGAGGGAATGTAATGAAGAAGAAATTTGATACATTTTAAAATTTTGCTACAAAAAAGGTAAAAATGCAACGCAAGCCGTGAAAAAAATTTGCGATGTTTATGGACCTAGTGCAGTGTCTGTGAGAGTAGCACAAATTACAAATTTGGTTAAAGCGTTTTCAATCCGGAAATCTTGATGTCAAAGATGCACGTCGCTCTGGTCGCCCTATTACGGATAAAATGGATGCCATATTTGAAAAAGTGGAGCAAGATCGGCATATTAGTAGTTACGACGTAGCTGAAGAACTGGAAATTGACCACGAAACAGTTTTGGTGCATTTGAAAAAAAACTGGGTATTATTATACATTAGTCATGCAATTGGTATCGTCGTGTCTTAAATGTGGTGTGTTGTGGACTACATCATCATCGTCATCATCTCAGCCTGTCCACTGCTAAAGATAGGCCTCTCCAACTGATATCCAGTGAGCCACTTCTTCGATGTTTTGAATTGGTCGAAGTCAAATCCATAAGCAATAATAGTAGAATCCAAACAAAAATTACTTTTATTTCCAGGTGCTTGTTTCAAATCCGATGTTAAGGTAAATCCAAAAGTATGTCCGTTCAATCCAATTAGTCAATCCGGGGAGTACAATCCTTTCAATAGACAGTGAATAAACAAAGACGTCGTCTGCCACAAACCTCTTCCCGTTCCTTCTCGGCGGTGCTGACTTGTGCCCTGGAGGCCGCCAGCTGTCGTTCCAGCTCTGCTACCGTGGTTTGGAGGCACCTGTACGCAGGTTAGCAACAGGTCATTATTGAGCCGGATAAAACAAAGCTATGCTCCGTCGCCCTTTTGAGCTGTAGCTATTCCTACCTAACTATCTCCTTAATGATCAGAAATACACCGGACAAGAGTTTTAAGTTTAGTGTTATGTTTTTTTTTTATTGCTTAGATGGGTGGACGAGCTTACAGACCACCTGGTGTTGAGTGGTTACTGGAGCCCATAGACATCTACAACGTAAATGCGCCACCCACCTTGAGATATAAGTACTAAGATCTCAGTATAGTTACAACGGCTGCCCTACCCTTCAGACCGAAACGCATTACTGCTTCACGGCAGAAATAGGTAAGGCGGTGGTACCTACCCGCGCGGACTCACAAGAGGTCTTACCACCAGTAAAACCAGTGTTAGTGCAATAATATATGTAATCACTTACTTCCGCACAGTTTCCGTTTGCTCGTGGGCTCTCTGCAGCGCCCGCGAGGCCTCGTCCCTGGTGCGGTCCAACTCTCCCCCAAGCTGGGCACATTCGTGCATCTTCTCTTGAAGCCGCTTCTCATTAGCTAATGCAGATTCTTCAGTTCTGATCACGCTGGCTCTGAATGCGAAAACATTTTAAAATGTAACTCTTAGACTAGAGCTCACAGTTTTGAGTCGGTCACTAGACTCACTTCCCAAGACAGAATACTAAAGATATGCCTACGAGACGGACGTCAGCGTATCGGTCCCGCACCGTGAGTCATCTTGTGTTCTTATCGAAATGAACAGTCTTTTTGAGTTCGTAGTTTGTATCTTCTCCTAGTCCAGAAGCGGACTAGCCATTGACCCTCATTGTGAGGAGCGACTCCCAGTTAGCAGCCTCAGCCTCGCAGTCAGTGAGGGTCAGCTTTATACAGCTAACCCTCACTGACTTGACTCTTTTGAAATCGTAAATCTTAACTTACTTGAGTCTTTCTATTTCACTCTTTAAGCTGATGTTATTCTCCGCGAGTTGTGATATTCTCTGGTTAAGAAGTGCCATTTGTTTCTCGTCCCCACCGCGTTCCGGAGGTTTTTCCGGGGGCTTCAGGCTATTATGTAGCAACACGTGAACCTGAAGGAAATCGAAGTCAGGACAACTCGCATGACAAGTAGGATCCTATGGCTAATTTCACAAACAGGCATAAGAGTACACTGAGTTCACACCGTTTGGTCCTTATTACCACGGCCGATTTCGCTTTGACTTTGTCCAAACAAGTCCTCCTGTGTTAATGTCATTGTTGTTACTAAGTACAGTGAGTACAGGTACCGGAAAATGTGTACTACCTTCTCCCGTGCGCAGTTGAGCTCCCTAGCGAGCTGCTCTGCGTTGTGCTCGGCGATGGCCTGCGCTTGCTGAGCGTCCTTCAGCCTCATCTGAGTCGCTTTCAACAGATCGGGGATCGGAGCCAACTCTTGGAGTTTCTCTTGGAACTTCAGCTGGTTTCATTGTCAAATATTATTTAGTATACCTTTTATAACTATTTAAAAAACAAAAGGAAGGTCTACAAATCATCTGAACTTAACGATTATCAATACTCCCTTCAAGGCTCGTTAGAAGTACTCTTTAATTTATTGCGAAACACTTTATTATTCATTCATCATTACTCATGCAAAATATATTTGAGTTCATGAATATTCTCAATTCCGCGGATTTACGCCACACATTCATTAAATTGCTTTGTAAAATGGGCGAGCAGTAGTTCCAAAGCTATCGAGACTTCAGCCTGTCATCACCATGAGGTGGCCACTCAGAGCTCCGCAGAGTCTCCGGGCTCCGAACACCGAACGGTCTATTCGTCTAGATACACTAATTAAGAATTATGACAGCAACATTAATTATACGAATTCAACTGTCGTCCAAAATGGCCAAGACACAATTATACCTTAACCCTTTGAATTTCCAAGTTGATCTGTTCGCTTATTCTGGTGTTGTCCATATCCATCATGTCCATCTGTCGGCGCTGCTCTTCCACCAGCTGCTGAGCTTGCAGATACTAATGTACAGAATACCAATAAATATCTTCAAGTTGAGAAGGACTCATTTATGCTAATTCCCTAATACCTTAAGGTTTATTTTACGTTGTCAAATATATTATTTATCGTATAACAATCAGAGGAATCTATGATATAGCACTTTTTATATATATATCCACGGTGAAGAAATAATATCGTGTAATAAAAATCAAACTCGCAAAATTATAATTTGCGTAATTACTGGTGGTAGGACCTCTTGTGAGTCGGCGCGAGTAGGTACCACCGCCTTGCCTACTCCTGCCGTGAAGCAGTAATACGTTTCGGCTTGAAGGGCGGGGTAGCCGTTGTAACTATACTGAGACCTTAGAACTTATATCTCAAGGTGGGTGGCGCATTTACGTTGTAGATGTCTATGGGCTCCAGTAACCACTTAACATCAGGTGGGCTGTGAGTTCGTCCACCCATCTAAGCAATAAAAATAAAAAAAAATGTGTAATATGTGTCTAGGAATGTAATTAATAATATTAATCTAGATCCGAATGTCGGTTATTTTCTGAGTTTCCAGTAACCAAGGAAATGTATCCTCAATGAATTGATTACTGAGTGATAGAAAATAAAATTTCATAATATAATCATTATTGTAAATATCTCACATACACGCCATAACAGAGGACCATACACACCATCTACTATAGATGCGAACTTTACCTTGACTCTATAATCCTGGAGCTGATCATTCTGCTCTTTCATCAGGGTCCTCAATTCGTCTATCTCCTCCCTTGCTTCCCGGTAGCACTGCTTCAGTGCCCTGACGTTCACCTCCTGTTCGAACGCTTGCTCTTTGGACCCCATCAACATATTGGTGTGCGTTGCAAGACCTTCGAATTTCATCTCCAACTCCCTCAGCTTGTTCTGGGTCTCGCGGTGCTGGCATCGCTCTTTCTCTAACTCCTCTTTCTTCTTAACTAGTTCCGCTCGTAGCATCGCACACTAAACACAATACAGAAGAGTTTAGACTCTTCTGAATGATCAAACTTCAATGATAATTTTACTATTCATAAGATAATATCGCACATCCAGTTTGTTGTTGAATACCCTGTCAGCGTGTACGATCTAACAGCACCTCGGTTGGGACTTGATACGAGGGCGGGTTATACCATACTGGTAAGTAAACATCAGAAACGGAAGTATCTTGCTAGTATTCATCGTGAAGGAGACAAATGAAACTTGGACAATACTAAAGGACTGCTTTATATCACGAGCCGTAGTCGATTCGCTCGACGGATGACGTCATTATGGTATGGTATGGTACGGTATGCGGCCCGCGGGCTACAGCGTCCCGCATACCTACTGACTTAAATAATTGTGAACATTACTTCGGTGACTTTAGTCTTGAAATTCTCTTCAGTCTGCCGGAGCTGTATCCCAAGCTTTTGTGCTTCTTTCTCGGCTGGGGTCTAATGACAAATCAAACAGTCAGCACTGAACCAAACAAGCTACTGTAAGAAAAATGTAACATCAGTATTAGAATGGGTGAAGGAAACTTAATTCCACCCGTTCCTGTCTTCGGGGATTGGATCCCGTCGTCGCTAGACAGATAAGTTCAAAGCCTCTGTTGCTTTGGATAAGGTCTTCTAATGTAAGTGAATATAAGTTTGAAATTTAGTCTTCGCTGTCACCACATCATCCATTTCAATATGTACATATGTCACACAATCGGATGTCTGGAATAAATTAATTTATTCAATTAAACTAGCCATTCCCACTCCACAGTTACACATAGCTTGCGAGAACAATATAGTCGTCAAGGCATGGACCGTCCCAATCATAGCTACCCAGTTGGCGGAAGAGCTTCCCGTTGCGATACACACGGACAAACAATGTGACTAACCGGCGGCGCGTTCGGGTTGCACGTGGCGGGACACGGCGGACACACGCCGCACTGCAAACAAACCAACCATTTACTTCATCGCCTTAAAACCATTAATTAAGCAATTACGTAGGCAGTCAGTGTACGAATCCCCCAGCCAGGCACCTACCAGGTGAAATACGTTTTACTGTACTGTATGTTTTCGAATTACTTCCAATATGAAGGCATACCATTGTGTACTTAACCAAAAAACTCACGGGTAGAGCGTCTTATGAGCACGCGTGGTTAGATACCGACATTTATTTTTAACATGAAGCAGTAACGCGTTTAAGTTTGAAGGGTGGGGCAATCGTTTTACTGTAAAAGCTGCCACTAAGAACTCACACAAAACAGAGTCTCAAGGTGGATGGCGGCCTCTATGTTGGTGATGTCTATGGGCGCAATTTATCATTTAGCACTAGGTAGGCCGTGATCTCAGTCATCAGTCTAAGCAATAAAATTAATCCGTTATTCTCGGTAGTACGCCTTCGTTCACAAAGAGATCCAGGGCTGTTTTCTGAATTTTCATCCAAAAATCTGCTGATCAACGTTGCCCTTAGCATTGTGTACCCGCTCCAACGAACGAATGGTGTGTATGAACAGTGAAAACGTCTTACCGCTCTCGACATCGGCGGAACAGGAGGACCTCCGGCCTGAAACAGATTTTACGTTGGACAACTACAACACTAAATATTTGGATTGTGGTTTTAGAACTTCTCTTGATCGTTCGGAGTCCGCTGAGCGCCTGCTCGTGTCTGACAGTGTGCACCGACTAGTGGGGTGGCAACGACTATGTCACTAGCAGTCAATTGGGTGATTCCGTCCGCTCCTCACACATACAAACACATATCAAAGTCCATTTATCATTCTACAATATCATGTTTATGTAGCTCTCTCAGCCGCTGTGTACAAGTTCCTGATGCACTTTTCTTATCCGTTTCAACAATTGCATTTAATGACCGCGGTAGCAAACCTCATATCTCAAGATGTGCTCCGGCAACCGCTAAACACAAGTGGGCTGTGAATTAACATCTTGATTTCCTACTCCTTAAATGAGAACGTAGAATGGTTTTGCGTCAGAACTAGGTAAAGTATAAAAGTAGTGCATACGGGTTGTTCAAAGCAAGTATTCTGTCCGCCCCCGCCGCGACACGCTCCGGCGGCACACTTCACGGACTCCATTTCGACCTGGATGTGCCGCACCTCGGTCTCTAACTCCAGAAGCTGCTTCTCCTGTTCCGAAAATGCCTAATGTATCATCTGAATGATAAATTCATTTACAAGTTCAATCTAAAGTCATGTCTAGCAACTATTTTCTAAAACTACTTAAGATTTTTTAAATAATTTTCCTTAAATTCTATAAAGTTCAAACTAATACGAAGTTTTTTTTTATTGCTTAGTGTGGACGAGCTCACAGCCCACCTGGTATTAAGTGCTTACTGGAGCCCATAGACATCTACAACATAAATGCCAACACCCACCTTAAGATATCAGTTCTAAGGTCTCAGCATAGTTACAACGGCTGCCCCACCCCTCAAACCGAAACGAATTACTGCTTCACGGCAGAAATAGGCGGGGTGGTGGTACCTACCCGTGCGGACTCACAAGAGGTCCTGTCACCAATTATGCAAATTATAATTTTGCGGGTTGAATTTTATTACACTATGTTATTCCTTCATCGTGGAAGTCAATCGTGAACATTTGTTAAGTACTTATTTCATTAGAAAAATTGGTACCCACCTGCGGTGCACCGAACGACTTATCCTTTAGGCCACTACGACTTCAAAACAACAACTTTAAAATGAGCTTATTGTTAAAGTATTTATTGATTGACAGTAAAGCTTACGAGATCAACAGACGAACATTTGTAGTCTTCTAGTTTATTAATTAGTTCCTGAGCTTGTGTTACATCAAATACTCGATTATCCTGTTTATATAAATGTGTATATTTAGTAGCTAGTTACACGACATAAGCCTTAACGATATCCTTTGTCTGCTTTAGACGGTCAGAGCTTCGAACCTAAGAAACTATTAATATAGACGCTTTTCAATCTCAGAGCGTTTTGTATTTGCTGTAAATGTGGGCGGAACATAACAGAGCGCCATCCTTTGTCTTGAAAAATAAATACTCCTTTATATTAATATCTTTTATGAAATTACTTTACTCGACAGCCGAGTTCGCAGCTCAACCCAGGCTGAATGATCATTCAAGACACTACAATGGGAATGTTAATCTTGGGATTGGAGGGTGAAGTCTGTATCGTATGTTGTATTCTACAAATAAAGGCCGCCTCATTCCTTAAGCATGGAAGCTTGGTTGTGGGCAGACATAGGCAGCACTGTGGTCAGCATGCCAAATTATGCAAGCTCACTGTGACACAGATCACTATGCAATCATAAAACATCGACAGGCCCGAAGCCATCCTTCTATCGTGGAAATCGAATTTAGCAAAATTGTTCTAACCGAGACTCTTCATAAACTTCAGTTGTAAAAATATCAATGAATGCTTATTAAAAATACACAGAACCTGTTCGCAAATTTCTATATTTTCATGATTTTCGCATCTGTTGTCCTGGACTACAACGCCGGCGTCACCCTTCAAAAAAAAAACGGGTTTATAAAAATGAATTACTGACATACGCGTGTTTTCGGCTTATAGTAGTATATTTTAAGACAGACATAATACATAATGCTCATAACATAGTTTTATCTCAATCATTGTATAAATATCAACACCGACAGGTAACTAATAATAATTACAGTAGACAGGATGCGAAAAGGACGCTGCAAATCAATAAGCGTCGCTAACACGGGGCGCCCAGGGGAGACGGGGTGGCCCGGCGAGACTTCGCTAATTATTTTAAACCGACTCAGAAAAAGAGAAGCCTCTGGATCCGGTGCATATAGGTATACCTTGGAAAATAATGGACAAAGCTGTCTCCAAAAAAAAGATCAAAAGATAATAAGCAATATATCAAGATACCGAATATTAAGTTCTAAGCGTAATTTGAAATCATGGTATAAACTCTTAACCCAAAACTCATCCCTGGCTCCAAGCCCTGACGACGATAGCACTCCAAGTGCGGAACTGTTTGTTAACTAAACAAATACCTTTGGATTATTCTTATGAATTTTCTCAAGTAGCGCACAGTTTTCTTTACTCAATAACTTCAACTCCCCTTGCAACCTTTTTATTTGAGCGCGACATGTCTCCAAATTCTGATCTTTGGTCATCAATTCTTTGTACAAAATATACCTGAAACGTTACACTTACCTTATTTCGTCCATTTTTTTTATAATTATTTTAAAATTATGTATGTGTGTCTAAAATTATTTATTTTTATTGAATGTCACACGTCAAACTGATATTCCGTATTTGAAAAACTGTCGTAACCTCTGAGAGTTTATATGTTTAAATGTATGTTACAAAAGTTTTCAAAATGTCCACTCAATTTTCCCATTTGATATCGGTTTCATACGAACCAAACAAATGTACGTATCGTTTGTAAATTAAGATCAAGTTACAAAAAAGCGGGGTACGTTCTACGGAAAATAAGATCCGATAAAAGAAAATCTTACAGGATAAGCTGATGCGGTTGATGATCACGACCCGCAATATTGGGGATATTTATAATATTTTTTTAGTTNAAATGTCCACTCAATTTTCCCATTTGATATCGGTTTCATACGAACCAAACAAATGTACGTATCGTTTGTAAATTAAGATCAAGTTACAAAAAAGCGGGGTACGTTCTACGGAAAATAAGATCCGATAAAAGAAAATCTTACAGGATAAGCTGATGCGGTTGATGATCACGACCCGCAATATTGGGGATATTTATAATATTTTTTTAGTTTAGGAACTGTCCTTGGATAGCTGTGACCTAGGATGGGAAACAATCACTTTTTTGTCTTAGACCTATCTGCTTCATTATGGATCATACTGTTGCTTATCACAAGAAAATAGCCATAAAGCTAGTTTCAAGGAAAACATTTATAGAGCTTCGTCGAAGAGCTTTTTACGTACATTGAAGAATCGGGGCTCAAGCAGAAACGACCGAAAACCACATTATTGGCGAGGGGTACGCTTGTGGCGATACATAGAATTCAATTTGTTTTTATTAACAACGTTAAAATGGCTCAAATATTTTCAAAACAAGACAGACAAAAGTTGTAAGGCTAACTTTTATTGCGATTAGTCTTTTGCGTTAAATTGCATAAATTTAAAGAGAGGTTGAATCAAATCGTTTTCTATTTACCAGTAACAGTAATTGACTAACTCATATAGACCCGGCCGTAATTAATATATTAAATTTGAATACTGGTTAATAAGCTCAAAGATGTGAGATAGCAGAGTTAGGTCAGATATGTGTTTCAAATAAAAGTTTTTATTCCTAGTGGTTGTTTTATTGAAAAATAGTCTTTACGAAGTAAGGTTGCTAGGATACGCCATATTGAAAAGTTAATCAATAAACTGCAGGACGACGAGGTGCGGGTACAGTGGGGGCACGGGGTGCGGGGCGGGAACTGGGTGCAAGCGAGATGAGGGTGGTGGAGAAAACCTGCCATCGGTAGCAAACCTAACTCCGATATTAACATTATTAAAAATAAAGACATGTCCTTGTTGGAGGTAGTATCTTTATCAAAGATATTTTGGGAGTAAGTGTACTCGTCCTTGTCTCGTATTTATTTGTATCTCGGGTACCTATTACACAGGAGACTACCTTGAGTTACGGCAGCGAATATAGATGTGAAATTATATTAATGCCAAAAAAAATCATTTTTCGTTAATTCTACAATAATCCTAATATTTTAAATATGAAAGTTTATTTATTTATTACTGTTGCAGGTAAAAAACCACAGAAAACTTTATTTGGATTATGAATGCACTTCACAATATGGTGGCTTGTACAGGAGTTTAGCACATAGGTACATAATAACAAGGAAATGACAGTGACACTCGATTATTTACAAGAAGCTAATATTTTTCATGCAATAATTACAGCGGAGCGAAAACGGGTTTCACTAGATGCTTTAAAAGATTAATAGATAAAAAAATTACAATATTTAGGGAAGTACTGAAATCGTTAACTACACTTTTTTGATCTAATCGAACTTAGTAAGTTTCTCAAAATGCAACAGCGGAACATAATATGCATGAGGTCCGATACTTGTCAATTACACATATTGATAATTCGAAGGCCGCGAATTTTAAATTACTATTCTAGCTGTTTCGCCCGTTTTTTTTCGGTATTACAATCCTTGAAGCGCCTAACCACTATCGACTAGCTTGTGATTATTTCTAATAAAGCTGCACCCCTTCCACCCCCTCGACGTCGGAGTGGTATCGGACGTATGAAGGCGTAATGAGTACCTCTTCACCTCCAGGTCAGCGTTGTCAGCGACGAGCCTCTCCTGCATGTCGTAGCTCTCGCTAAGCTTCCTCGTCAAATCGATCTCCTGCATCCAAACACTCAATTTTTGGTATCTTGAACTTTCAAACTATCGATTGGTGTATTAAACATTATTTTTATTGCAACAAAGTCTGAGAAATACACCATTTTGTGTCTTAATTTGTACAATATAGTCCATGTATTTACAAATTATTACGCAGCAGTCGTGGCCGAGTGGTTAAGGCGTCTGACTCGAAATCAGATTCCCTCTGGGAGCGTAGGTTCGAATCCTACCGGCTGCGGCGCCAATGGTTGTTTTTAGTTTTTAAATAATGATAATTTTATGATCTAATCGACTAATTTTGTTTCTTCATCTAATAGCCCACAGATGTCAACTAATGGACATAGGCTTCTCCCAAGCCTCGTCACAATTTTGTTTAAATGACTAAAATATTTTGAAAAAAAAAAAAAAAAAAAAAACAAATTGCGGTGCATTCCACACAAAAACTATTAACTGTTAGGTTTCCAAAGCGAAAAAACTCCTAACAATACGCACCGTATCAAAAATTACCGATTTTTGTACCACCACCCGCTAATCGCCATGAATAACGAAAGCTTCTGAGCAGTAATAGGTCATGTTTAAATATTTCATAAATTTATCCATTTCTACCTTCACGAGAAATGGTGTAAGGAGCGACCAACGCTGTCACTGTCAACTTATGTCGACGACAATAAGCCTAAAATATCCCTTGAGTTTCTCGCTGGATCTTCTCAGTGGGTTGTGTTTCCGATCCGGCGGTAGAGTCTGCGAAGCACTGCTCTTGCTAAGGCCAGTGTTAGCAACATCCTCAGGTTAGAGCCCCGTGAGCTCGCCTACTCGCTTGTTTACCCTGGCCTGGCCTCTAAAGGCTACTAGCTACTACTAGATAAGCCTAAGCTACTAGCTTAAAAAAATCGGTTCTGTGTCAGAATTTCACGACCAATTTCAAGAACTAAATGACATTGGTATTGGGAACACCGGAATCGACAAGACCGTATTTTGGGGCAGGTTCTTATCTCTTCTGATATAATCCAGGCGTCTCATGCGTCAAAAACAACTTCTTCGACAACCGCAGTGGCGAGATATTCAGTTTCCCCGCATGAGGTACCAAAGCGTAGCCAAGCTACGAAGGCTGTTCGGTCTACATCAGGTTCCGTGCGAGATCGACAAATACTGCCGTGTATTATTTTATATTACTACTTCCTCTTTCTTGTATTTTTTTAATATAACAGAAATGAATATGTTTTACACGATAATGTCATTTAAAGCTATGTACACATGGCACTGTGTGTTGTAAATTCAACATAATTCTACATTCAAACAAAAATTAATTAAGGTTTTTTACGAGATCTAAAATTATGCCAATTCTTAAGGCAGGTTTGAAAGTTGAGTATATTTTAAAGAACACACATATATGTCATAATGGCATATATGTGAAGGGTTCCTGTGTGTTGCTTCCCATAAAGTAACGCATCGAGTAACTACAGCCGTCCAGAGACATCTACAAATTACAGGACACAACACTATATTGAATCTCCACTAAGGATGCTAAAGAGCTAATTATAATAGACAAGATTCATGAAGTACGTACAGATTTACATCTCATCGGTGGATCGCAGACTACAAATTTTGGTGTATCATTATTTCTACCGGCGAGTAGAACAGTGGGATGAGCCATCTTCATTTCGTGGAAGACAGCAGATTCTTAAAGGATATACAAGTATTAATTAAAAATTAAAAATCAGACTTCAAATATTCTTAATAAAATATTAGAACTTTTAAAAAATCATTCAAATTTTGAAAAAGTAGGCTTATTCATCGACAATATGTAACAAAAAAAAAACTGGATGTGTGTTATGGAAGAGCAACGGTTCCAAATGGCTGGAATTAACCTAGGCCAGCTGGCGGTGCAATGCCTGTCAGAAGATAACGAAAATAATAACGAAAAGATCACATTTTCCAGCCTAAGCGAAGTACAGACACTCATTGAGTTACTCGTGGAGCTATTAGTTCCATCTGTCGGCGGAGTCACAAACCGCCGACAGATGATTTCAATTCTAACGGAGAGGTGGCACGGCTTTAAACACTTGCAGCAAAACTATTCAATTCGAAACAAGAGAAAACTTGCATTTTTGAAATCCTTAAGACAGATTTCTGCTACGATTCAGTTCCCATTTGTAACAATGTTTAGTTAATAAGCGCCCTAAAATCAGTAGTAAGTGTTCTCTTGGAAAATAGTTAATAACATACTACATCATTACCCGCGCGAACTAAAAAAAATATTTTCATCTTGGTAATCGTAGTTAAATTTTCAGGTCGAATTAGTTTAATAAAATGATTGTAGATAGCCTTATATTTTCCTACCTACCTAGTAGGGACCCTTTACTTTCAACTCAAGTACTATTTATATTAGAGATGCTACTCTTCTGCCTATTTATGCCACCATGCGATCCCGCGGTACTGTATGTAATAAGATAAACATTAAAACAATCCAATCGAAAATAATATCTGAATCAAAATTCTAATATTTCAAAACTAATTAAGTACCCAAGAGACATTCCAGATACATTTCATTATCTCAGGACAATCTCTGTCAAGAGCTATAGCTTATAGGGAGTTTCGACCGTTTCGAGGCCCGATGACCTCCAACTCCCATAATATACCCCTCAACAGACGAGTGTACACATTAGACTGACCACCAACTACACTCCTGGGCATGCCCTCCACTTTCTCGTGGTTTTCGTCTCTAGGTCGACGCTGTTGTGCTACTTCAGCGCCTACTATTTTCTGCAGGCTCCTCGTCAGGCGATCAAATCTCTCCATCTCTCGGAGAAGCAACTCATTTCGATCACCAAGCTCTTTTACGTCTGTCTCTGTTATTGTTGTTTTCTGGAAATTAGAAATCAGATTACATACATATATCGTACATATTAAATTCCTTTGGCTCCGGAAATGGGCAAAAGTCATCCATTGATCACCTATCGATCTTGAGATATTAAACTAGACGAGCCTTATTTATATTCCTTTTTATATTTGATATCTTTGGACGGCCGATGGGTAAGATCCTTGAGTTGAGACCAGATACTTGGTAGCGCAGCGTGGGACGTGGGACGTGGGACACTATCCATTTTCAGAGCGTAATATTTTTCTGAGTAGAAACGTGAGTCTTCGTTATAGTTTTTGAAGAGATTACTATGGGCATGCGTTATCATCCTCAGAAGATACATTCCTGGCGGAGTAGTCGTGGTTATGTATGTCTTATTGCTTGGTTTTGAGAGACTAATAATTTAAAATAGTTAAAATAAATTTTGGATGATGATCTCCCAATGTCTCCATGACTAGCACCAGGCTCGTTGAGATCCTGAATAATCAAAAAGAAAATAACAATAAAGTTGATAACCTTCTGAATCTCGAGCAGTCTCGCCCTTGAGTCTCTAATTATCCGAGAACTTTTTCTAGTCTCATTATGTATTTCCCTGATTTGTCGAGGCAATGAATCTTCTAAATCCTGATCTAATGGAGAACCTGATTTTTAGAATTTTCAGTAAGTTTAACGGTTTCTGAAATATCCTTGAAGACTTTTAAAGGTTGAAAAAATACTCACGTGCTCTCAATTTCTGCAAAGAAATAACATCGATTTAATAAAATAAATTGGGTCACACATATTATAAAAAAGTCGGAGAGAGTGAAAGAGAAAGAGTAGAGGTATCTTTCTACGAATAACAAAATAATCAGCAGTAGAAAATATCACAAAATATTGGTAGTAAATCTAAGTATTGAAAACACGATTAGGAGAGTTATTCCTGTGATCAATAGTTATATACATATATATTTTTAGTTTTTACAAACAAAATTACCTTTGTAATATTCGTTCGAACCGCGTTTTTTCCGATAACTTCTGGCTTCCAATCTTGCAGTCCTTCGACATCGTGATCCTTACATGGTTTGCATCTCTTCAGGTCTCTTAAGGTATTCGCTTGCATGTCTCCTGAAGTGTCTGTACCGGTCTTATGTATTGCTACGGGAATTTGACTCTTATTCCAGTTCGGAAATTGTTCAATTTTCAAAGCGTGCTCTTTTGTGGGCTAAAATTTTTAATAAGGTTTGGTTTATTTCGAATTTTAAATTTTGTTGTGTATTAATGCTCTAGATTTGTATCATACTGATATATTATGCTTTTTTTAATTAGCAGACAAGATTTATATTCTTTATTCTGAAATCTTGGTAATTCATAAAATGAACGTCAGACATAAGTGTATAATCTATGACGTCAGATATTACTGCTGTAATCAGAAACCTTGTTTAATCAGTCTAAAATGTCAAAATTCATTTATCTATATATTAATACGTGAAGCAAAAACTTTGTATCCCTTTTTACGAAAATTGCGCGGACGGAGGTGTATGCAATTTTCCACACTTATAGAGATTATAGAGAAGAAGTGCACAATGCTAATATTTTTTTTAAATAATGCATAAAAGATACATTAAATCAATAAAGAAAACATTACAAACACTACCATGTATTTGACACACACACGCATGCATACTATTTGTTTATTGTCAAACTTTTCTTTGGAGTCTGTCAGTTATAGTCTGTCAAATTGAGAATAGATTAATAGTAATAGAATAGTTTTCTCTTTATTAATATTTGTCTAAAGTGTAGTCTTGACGAAATCTGTGATTAAAAAAGTTTAATAGTCCTTGACAATAGAATCATAATAGTGTACAAGCTTATAATTTCCAATAGTTATAGTCGAATTTCGACTACCAGGGGACCACTAGTATCTAAAAATGTACATATTATATAAGTTTATAAAAGTACATGTTAGTTTCTGTGCATCGAAAACGATTTAATTAAAATCAAAAAGTCCTTTATTTCCTGTTGTTTAAAAAAATTATCTAACTACACTATTCTTAAAACTAACTATCTACATATTTGAAGTGCATTAATATAATTATTTAGTTAAGTACCCATTTAAGCTAAATTAAGTTAATTTACAAGGGGTAAGTATAGCTTGGTAGATCAATTAGGCTATTAAGCAGTTAACTGATTTTGCTCAAATTGATGACTTCATTAAAAACTGTAGGTACTGCAGGAGCTGCAACATTTTGTAGATTCTTTTGATGTTTTGGATTAATTAGAACTAGAACTGAATTTTTTTTATGGCTATAAGAAAACCTCATGTCTTTTAATGGAGTTTAAAATATAACAACACTATTGTTCGTCCTTTCAGCTGGACCCGCGTAACTCGCTGATGTCTACAGTTATCAAAAAATATTTACAATACTCAAGAACAATCACTTTTAAAACAGTCTCGACACCAATAAAGTATGAAACGTTAGTCTAAAGTTCACATTTTTGCTTAGTTTATCATTGGAGTAACATTACATTGTAACAACCCGATAAAATTTGCAGGTGTGTGTATTTTAAGACCTGTGATTTCTATTGATTTAATTAAAAAGATAAACTCCCGTGTACGTATCTGTTAAAAAATATACATTAAAGCACTTTTAGGGAGGTATTCTTAATATCAGGTATTTTTTACCTATAAAATTTATGTTTAATATACAGAAAGTTAAAATCATTTTTTTATTTCTATCAATCGAATTAGGCACCCGGGGTATGGATACATATCTGCCAGTGGAGTGGTAATTTTTCAATACTTTCTTGAAGAGGTCAGGTGTATGCGAGCCAACAAACTCTTCAAAGGCATTATATGCGGCTTCTCGGATATCGATTTATTTTTCTGGCAAGAAGTTGTCCAAACTTTAGAAAAAGCAGAAGTCAGTCGGTAGAAGATCTGGGGAGTACAAAGGATGACGCACAAGTTCCAACTCCAGCTCTTGAAGCTTAGGGACCGTCTGTTGTGCCATATAAGTTCAAGCGTGATCGTATAGGAGCAGCGGATACGAAAGATTAACCAAGACTGCCCAGACATTTACGAGCTTCTCCATACTTCCACTTCCTAAAAGTATATATTTGCAGTAACTCAGGTACCTTTGATAACAGCTGTGATGAATTAGCCGGCACTAGACCACGAAACAGTGACTGTGCCTTCTTTAGGGGTAAGTTTTTGTTTGGTGCATGGCCAAGGTGCTGAACCAGGGTCTAACCAACATGATTACTGTTGACGATTATCAAAAAGAATCCATTTTTCATAGCAAATGATAATACCGTTAGAAATCCATGGTTTCTGTGTCTAGCAACGCAAGGCATAACGCGTTCGTCGCGCTGGCGATCAGTCATTTCGTATATATAGCACCGGCTTACCGCGACAGAACTTGTATTCCATAATTCGTAATCGTATTTCAATCGTGTCCATTTTGTAAAAAAATACACAAGTATAGCGAAAACAAAACACTAATCAATAAACATATGACTGAAATTATAAAAAGAGTTGCTGATTTATTAATTAAGGTTCCTTTTAGTTTAGCAAATGGCCAGTACTGTAAAACGAGAATCCCACAGGTATAAACCTATTATTTTGACATTACTAACGATATTGGACTCCGATGCGGAATGTGAGTCTCGGGGACTCTTCAGTTCGAGTGCTTGCAGACGTTCGGTTGGGATTTCAGGGGAACTGCTAGATTGGTCGACTGCGTTGCTCTTTGGGGATGTTTCCTGTCGTAGTCCAAGGCGGTGTTTGGATCTGATCGGCTGAAATGTAAAAGGCAACCTCAATTGACGTATGAAATTTATGTTCAAATATGCGCAGCGGTGTGTACATCGTATTTAAGGGATCTTGAGCATGGATGCGGCCGTTAAAGCCTATGCCCATCTAAATCGGCCATTAAATACATCAGTGTAGTGGTACTTGTAATCTACCAAAGAAAATCATGACAATATTTACAGATAGATGAATATCGAAAACTAAAGTGAACTGATAAAGGGTAGATCGTGAAGTAAAGTTATTTTAGATGGGAATCAATAAATTGACTTTAATGCTGTTGGTACAGTCCCACGAAGCGACCTGATCTTGGACGTACAAACTGATTAAAATTCAACCACAAGTAACATTTACCATAGTAAAAACACAAGACATAGGATGCTATCATCTTTTGTACATTTTCCGGATTATCTATTGTATTTTATTATTTATTGAGCTAGTTTGTATGTCTTGACTCGAATGAGCCCACTCGTTTACTGACACGTCAGTGCTACCAACATAAGAACACAATAAGGCCCTTCCAATAAGTTAATCATTATTGATTATTTTTTTAAATTAATCGGTAATTAAAAGATATTAGAATTTTAAAAATTTACTCAACCTTAAAAAAAAATAAACTTCGAACTACAGGTACGGGTTTTTCAGGCAAGATGTTTTATTTCTTCCGGTTCCGCTGTTTGTTGCACTGGATGGGAGGTTGTGGCGTTTCTTTTTTTGTTTTAGGAAAAAAACGATTACTGATAGTCCAGATGCCTTGTTAGCTTAGCACAGGCACAGCCAAGAGGGCTTGCGATTTACTAACAGCTGGCCGAGCGCTTCCGAAAGAAACCTAACTGAGAAGATCAGGCAAGAAGCTCAGCGGGATGATGTATAGGCGAGGTTTATCTTTGACGAATTCAACGAATACGGCTACCAAGGTCCCTATGTCTGCTCATAGAGTTAGAGCTGCAGGCTTCTAATAACTGTGTTAGTAGATCGGGTGGATCTGTAAGAATGTGTATGTGGCCTTCATCCCTACTTTGTGTTACGTATCTACCGGAGATATCACAAAATGCATTATGAAATGTCATGAGTTTATATGTGCTCAAGATCCAATCTATTACCGACGAGTTAATATTATAATAAGTTCTATTTAAATCTAGTCTAATATTGAGCACAATTAAACAGATTGAATTCACAAAGAACTTAGTAATGAGTTGCTCCAACTGTTTTTGCTAGCAAATGTTAAATGCAGGCAACATTGGAGGAAGATAGTGCAAAGACTGGACCAAGGTGGTCACGACCCTCAGTAATGAGGAAGCGACAAAGAAGAAGAAGAAGAATATAGTGAAACATAGCAAAAATGTATTATTACCTTCACTAACTTCCAACACACACACACACATCAGCAAGTACAACAGCCGTCAAACTATCAGTTTAGAAAAACACGAAGATATTAAATAAATCTTACCTTCATTATATAAAACAACACAAAATTAAATTATTCAAATAAATATAATCGTGATTATATGAAAATATGACATGACAAATACGTATAACAAGCAAAGTATATCATACGTCCTTCCTAAAGACTTTTCGTAACATTGTAAATTATGGTTGAGTTTGTAGAGTAAAGAGAATTTATGCAAATTAATGTTATTTATGTTGAAGTCTTTAACAAAACGTATGTAATTATGTGCGTCAGTAGACTAGTTGTAATATACATAATACATGTATGTATGCTTTGGTTTTCAAATAGTTTACTCGTGTCTCATTGTCGATAATTTATCCACAGTGTGTAGAAAATTGTTATGGATGTTTTTTTTTTATTGCCCTTATAGGCAGACGAGCATATGGCCCACCTGATGGTGAGTGGTTACCGTCGCCCATGGACTTCAGCAATGCCATCGCATGATTTAACTTTTGCATCAAATTAACCATTACTCTTTTTTTAACTCTTTTTTTTAGGTTGCCGTTTGTCATACACGTTTCATATTAAATGATAAGACCATTCGCGATTGAAATTAGAATGGCGCGATAATTTTTTATGTATTTATAGCACAGATGAGTGAATGGGCTCACGGCTTACTTCGTGCTAAGAGGCTATCAGAGCCAATAGAACTCACCACATGAAGGCTGCCTTCCATCTTGAGATATGAGATCCAAGTCAGAATTACTTAGTATTAACAGTACGCATAGTTACGACGCGGCACTATAGGTAAGATGAAATAAGATCGTGTTCAAAAAGAAACATATACTATACTTTGTGGTATTCGTAAATTGTGTTTTGTATTTTTCGTACCAGGAATTATCACTCCCACTGGCGCTGCATATAGCACTAAGGCTTGTCTAGAATAGTTCCCTGGACTCATTGCAACAAATAAGTTAACTATAACACAATATACTGAGGACTGTTTTGTTTTTAACACGCAGGTGTTGATAAAGCTATGTTCAATTAGTATACAGCCTTGGGTCCCCACCGGTGTAGCCTATTGTACTCTCCGCGGTACTCTAAATAAGTACTTTACGTGACACCTAAAAAAATCGATCGAATATCCACATGTAGGACGTATTCTGTAATAATATTAATTGATTTCTCGAAACTATATCACAAATAAAACATTAAGCCTTAATGTAATTGTATATGTTACGGTAAAAGTAGATATTGCGGCAAATGTACACATTTCCCGGTAAATGTGCACATTTGCCTCCTCGTTTGGGTAATGTACATTCAACTAACATTTACAATTTCAAAGAAGGGAAATGTACATTGAATTCACAATGATCATGTCGTTTTGGTAAATTTTGAAGTCGTCGTGGCCTAAACGATAAGACGTCCGGTGCATTCGTGTTGAAGCGATGCACCGGTGTTCGAATCCCGCGGGCGTGTAACAATTTTTCTAATAAAATACGTAGGTACTCAACAAATGTTCACGATTGACTTCCACGGTGAAGGAATAACATCGTGTAATAAAAATGAAACCCGCAAAATTATAATTTGTGTAATTACTGGTGGTAGGACCTCTTGTGAGTCCGCGCGGGTAGGTACCACCGCCCTGCTTATTTCTGCCGTGAAGCAGTAATGCGTTTCGGTTTGAAGGATGGGGCAGCCGTTGTAAGTATACTGAGACCTTAGAACTTATATCTCAAGGTAGGTGGCGCATTTACTTTGTAGATGTCTATGGGCTCCAGTAACTACTTAACACAGGTGGGCTGTGAGCTCGTCCAACCTACGACATCTTAAATAATATGCAAAGAAAAGTATGTTTTGTTTGTCATTTATATTTTTTAATTAAAATAATTTTCGTTATTAAAGCCTTTTGTATTATGTTTATTTAAATAAATAGTTTTTACTGCAACAACATTATTAATCTATTTGTATTTACTGTAACTTTTCTTAACAGATGAAGCTAAGAGTATACATTTACCAAAACGTGAAGGCAAGAGTACACATTTGCCGGGAAATGTACATATACATTATATTCAGTTCACGTATACCTAACTTTTTGGCAAATGTGCACATTTACCGGTAAAAGTGTACCTTTCCCAAGAGTGTACATTTACCGTAACATATACACATCGAATTTCTGTAAACGTCAGCCTGCTTTTAATAGCACAAACAATTATTTTAAACTCTGACCAGTTGAACGTAATGTAAATTTTGGTTTGCGTTACAAAATACCAACAGATAATTCTTTAACACAATTAGCGGTTATAGTGAGGTTTCCACTTACTTACTTACCCGATAGTGCTTCAGTGTACAGGGTCCGTGGCTACCTACCAGATAATGGCTGGACGTAAGTGGAAAATTTATAATACAAGTTTGAAACTAGGATTAGTATAATTGCTAATGTAGTTAGAACAAGTTCTCAATGTCTTACATTTCCGACGTTTTAAAAAAAACATGTTTGTCTCGCTAGTGATATGACCATCGCAATATATGTGACCTTTCCACAAGTACATAGGGAAAACTGGCGCTGTAATAAAACATTTGGAGCTTCAATTTGTAATTGGCGACATACGCGTTATGGACTTCGATAAACACTTATATTTTGTGTGAAAAAAGCTTGCGCGTCCTAGTCTATGTCGACGTAATAAAGAGCGTCTATAGTTAATGAAATAATAGAAAACGAATTATTTTTGCGTCAACTTTAATTTCTATACTCTAATAAAATTATTCACATTGTAATAATTATTCGTAATTGCTTTTGTTATTGTAGCTCATAAATAATTTATACAAAATTACGTCTAATGTATATTTAATTTGCATTGTTATTTAAATTTAATAGAAAATATTAGTCGATCATTACGAATCCAAATGTGGTTAGACCCTAATATAATAATAATTAACATACAGTACAGCAACTAAAATAGAAGTAGCTGTAAGAAAGATTTTTTTACACCAGTCACAATATGAAATGAAAAATCATATCAAATTTATAAAACCAATGAATAAGAATTACTTATTGTGCAGTGTACACCTATACACATACCTATTAATGGTGGTAGGACCTCTTGTGAGTCCGCACGTGTAGGTACCACCGCGCTGCCTATTTGAGCCGTGAAGCAGTAATTGCCTTTCGGTTTGAAGGGTGGGGCAGCCGTTGTACTGTAAAAACTGAGACCTGAGAACTCATATCTCAAGGTAATTGACGGCAATTACGTTATAGATATCTATGGGCTCCAGTAACCACTTAGCACTAGGTGGCTGTGAGATCGTCCACCCGTATATGCAAAAAAAAAAGGAAAAAATAATCTTTATCTCGGGGGGGGGGATCTTTATCACGGTAGGCAGCGGCTTGGCTCTGCGCCTGGCATTGCTGAAGTCTATGAAATCGTTAGATGATTCAATAAATTATAATTGTACAACAAACATATCTCATACATGCTTGCGTTATATCAAAGTACTTTCTTCTCTGTTCTCGAAAGCATGATCCTTATTAATCGACACAAGCGAATCCAAGCCTTGTGTCAAAGTGATCTACTGAAACGTCGCCTGAAATAACAAATT